GGATTAATTCTGCAAGTGAGTAAATTACCTGGAAAAAAATCCTCTACACGCAGAGACCAGCGACATCGGGCATACAAAACCTTGGAAATGGCTGCACAGGGACTGCCTGCCCCATGCTAATTTGGCCCCAGCGTACGTCTGCTGAAACAAATCTGTAATCACAGGATTGCCTGCAGATTTTCTCCCACAAGACCTCTGCCCTGCTCAGTCCTCAGGATGGTTCTGCTCACTGAATGCAGCATTAGTCATCATTTCTTTTTATTATCATTCATGTTGTTTCCCTGTTCCCTCCTACTCTCTTCCCCTTTATTTAGTACGCTCCATCCGACTACTGCCAGCATGGATTAAACTGGAAGTACCTAATCTTACTGTCCTTACCACTCTCGCAGCCTCTGACGTGCTTAGCCTCACATTTCTGTGAGGCAGGGAAGTGCTCCTCTCCGTGCAGCAGATGGGGGAGGGAGGCTAGAAGAAGCTAAGAGACCTAACAAAGTCACGGAGAAAATCTGCAAGAGCAGGGAGCTGAACATGGGTCTTTGACTCCCAATCTGACCCCCTACTCTGGAGAGATCCTTTCTCTCTCCTGACCTGCAAGAATGAATTTTAATCTCTTCCTGAAATTGTTTCTGGTATTCATCTGTGGAGCTGGAATGCTTGGCAAGCACTGAATTAATCTTCACAGGATGACTGGAAGAAGGTTTTCCTGAACAGACAAGGGGAAATTAGTGAAGAGAAAACTGAGTCTGAATGTCCACTTCTTGCGGGTGCCCATCTCAAGACTTGCAGGTCCCCATTTTCCAGCCCACTCAGCCCTGCAGGGTACAGGGGTATCCGCAGAGGAATTCCTCCCGGCCTCCTCCTGCTGCTGGGAACATAAGAACAGACCTCAGGTCTCAAGCCGACCGTCCAGAAAACAAGGAACACAAACTCACTTGCCACCTAAGAACATTTTAGCTTAAGACTCTGGAATAGCATTGAGAAAGAACACAGCAGTAGAGGCAGGGACAGGATCCAATTCTCCAGGGCAACATTTAACAGGCTTCGCCATGAGACTATTGTGATTTTTCTGCAATTACCTGCCTCATTCAGTACACACCTTCTAATTTTGACAAACGAACAAAATGGAAGTTCTATACACAAGAGTCTACTTTACTCTACACTCCTGATTCATCCCCCAAACACGCTGCAACTTTGTGCACTGAATAAGGCACGCATACTATGTAAAAAATATATATGATCCTTCAATTAAATATAGTCTTGAAATACACATGTGTAACAGGGGCAAGGCTAAAGTGCAGATATATTTCTTAAATTCTGTGTGCTAGGTTTTGCAGTTAATGAGGACTCTTTAACTATAGGTTTGTTTTTACTGCACTGTATTGGCTTGTCAGAGTCTGCAGCAATATCTGATGCGTAACATGTACGTTGCACATGATCAAAGACCTGAGTGTCATCTTCTTCCCTAGAACAATGACTGCCTAAAGCAGCAGGAGCAGAAATTATCTAAAGGTAGGGTTAAACAAACCTCCTTCTCCCCTCTGGGGAGAGTAAGCAGTCCAGGTGAGCAAGGTAGGAGGGGAGAACAGTCTGCTTTGTGCTAGATGGGCAGAGAGCTCCACATAAAAGCAGAGGAGCTTTGCAGAAGCATGTCCTGACTCCCATCACTGGAGACTTAATGATGGTAATTCCCAAAGGATGATGCATACTGACAGGCTTTGACACAAACTACCCCAGGATAATATTAATATGTATTAAAGGCTCAGGCAACTTTATTGGGCCAGGCTTGATCAGTAACACATTTCAACAGAGTGTCTCTATCATCTGCTGGAACATAAGGGAGGGAGGGAGAACACGCACAACCTCACCCTGCTTTGGGCAGGTTTAGAGACAAACAAGGTTGATCTGTGATGAATTGCATGCTTGTCACAGCTCATATGTTGGACCAAGAACCTTGGACACTCCACCACAAATACAAATGTCACTGTGGGGCAGTTAATGTCAAAGTCTGTCTGCATGATCAGCATCCTTAACCCTCCAACATGGGGCCAGACACCTCCTGCACAGCCTTTCCCTGTGCATCTGGAACATCTACCCCTTGGAAAGGAGAGGAGAGGTGCTCAGGAGGCACTGTGGGGGCTCTGCTGTCACAGCACTGGGGGAAGGGGAAGTGGAAGAACGAACCGCGGAAGCCTTTGATCATGTGTAATGTTAATGCAAGTGTTACACATCAGAGACTTTGCCACGGTAACTAGCATATAAACAGGAGTCTAGTGTTAACAAGGAGGACTTCTTGAATATGTTTGTACATTTCTGAGTCAAAGCAATTTCCCTATTCAACAATACATGACACAGTGGAAGAAGTTCAGAAATAAACCAGCCTGACATGCTTAGACCTTTAATAGAATTTAGCTTCTTAGAACTAATTAAATGTTACTTAAATGGGAAAAAAAAAAAAAAATCCAAGTACTTGGGAAAGGTGCCAATTTGACAGCTCTGGAGAATGAAATAATCTAATCATCCCCAGAGCATGGGCAGCAGCAGGACAGGCATCCCCTACTAACGTGCCTCAAACGTGACCTGGAAAGACTGTCGATAGAAATGGGCGTACAATCTCTGTGATCTAATGACTCCTTGCCTTTTCTGCTGAGACTGCTAAAACAGCTCCTGCCGAGTACCAGCTGTGGCGGTGATACGGACACCTGTCTGCTAGGAATGGCGCTGGGACCTGCCAAACTCCTGTCGTCTGCTAACCCTCCACTGGAGCCCAGCGACTCTCAGCTCATTGCTCAGCCCGGGCAGCGGGGGCTGACAGGCTGTGCAGCAGCCCTCCGGCCTGTCCCACCTTGGACACGCTCCACTCCAGCCCACAAGATCTAAACAGGAGGTACTGTGTTTAGTCTGCAGGTTTGGGCTTTTGCTGTACCAAAGCTCAGGCTCAGGAGGACCCACTCTCTGGCTGCTGCAGAGTCGAGGCCAGATTTTTCAGGCTCTTATTCCTCCCTGAAGATAGGGAAAAAGTCCACAGGAGGAGATGCCTGCCTTCTCTCTTCCTCTCCACAGTCCCTCCATTTACTTGTCTTTGCAACAAGCCCCTGCATTGCAGTGATCTGCTTTCAGCCACCAACTCTCCTTGGAGCTCATCGCTGCGCCCGGGGTCCCAAGCGAGGGAGGAGGAAAATCCTCTCTGGGCCTTGCTGTGAAAGCTTGGCGGGGCTTGCCAACTTGGCCAGCCCAGGCTGCAAGGGACTAAACCAAACACAGCTCGCCTCCTTGGAAATTTTATGCACCACAACTTCTTTTACTTCTGAAGTAAAGCCACATGAACCTCCCTCCTCCGCTCCCAACACCACAAGGGACTGCTGAGCACGGATCAAGCCTCCCATTGCATATTAAGCCAAGAGCCTCAGACACTCCCACACATATCTCACACAACCGGGTGCTCCTCCTCTTGTCCCAGGCTGCTTTTAGCCTCCCTTCCTCCCCCACCCAGTCTGTCCTCCTTCATTCTCATCACAGGTCGGGGCAGGAGCCAGCAGCAGAGCTGGTCACATCAGACAAGAAGATCCAATAAGTTGACCTTGTGTAGGAGACAGAGGGAACTTGCTTCTCTCTACCCCTCAGAAGCCAGCAATTCTCCACCTTTCCCTCCCACTTACTCCAAAAAACTTCCATAACTTTCAGCAGGCATGGAAGCAAACAGGTTCATAAGGGTTAATATTAGTTACATGTCTGAATGGTGACCTAATTATTGCTATTCTTCACTGTTTAGAGGTTACCTGACTACACTACACATCAATACATTTTGAGATGTGATGTAAATGCAAACAAATACTCTTATGTTTGGAGTTGACACAGTCACAAGATCCTGTGTATCGTGTGTTGGCAAGCACAGGAACCAACAGCAAATGACCCACCCTTAAACCTGACCGTTTGCTGTTAATCATTACAGGAGTGTTGCACTTTCCAGTCAGTACAATCAAAGCACACAAGCTCTTTGAAAATCCCTACACAGAAGATGATTCTAGCCAAGATCAGCTCCTTTACAAGTCGTACAGATTTCAAGGTATGATGTCCTCCAGACGTATGAATACGGGCAGTGGAATGCCTTGGAAACAAGTCACTGGAAGGTTAACTGCAACGCTGCAATGCTAAAACAATCCCCTGCCTTACAAACAGAAGGGGAGGCAGGAATG